GCCGGTTTGATTCCCTGTCAGGGCACATGCACAGGTGTGGGTTCCCCATCCGGGTGGGTACTGGAGATAATTGATCAATCTTTCTCACATCAATGTTTCTCTCTCTCTCTCTCTCTCTCTCCCCCCTTCCTTTCCTCTCTCTAAAATCAATAAAAACATATTTAGAAAATAAAAACAGAACAAAAAAAACACACTAAGTTTAGTCTCCTTATTATGGGGCAGTGCAGCTGTAGACCAAGCTGTATCTGTTTGGGAAGGGATAAAAAATAGCAGCTAGCTCCATAGCAGCTTCTCCAGGTGAGTGGTGGTGGAGAGGTATGTAGTAGGGCTCTAAGTGGCCAGCCACACACACAAAACAACACCCAAAACCCCACAAAAGTTAGTTTTGCTTTGCTAAGGTAAGGAGTTACTGTTTTTCTGTTTCCTTCCTCTTGTCCCACTCCCTCTCTAATACTGGAGCCTGGCTCATGGCTTTCTTTTTAACCATACACAGTGACCCGGTAAAAGCATTCACCGTTAGAATTGTAAGGGTATTTAGAGTAGGCAGAAAAGATCAAAATAATTTCCTACTTTCTATCACATTCACCTAGGTATACAGAGCCTGAAAACGAGATAGTCATGAATGCTTGTCATCAACATAATACTTTGCATTGTGACATGTATTATGCTATTTTTGCACTAGTTTTCTCATCCTTAGTAAATTTCAATTTAAGTTACTTGACAGAGGGAGTGCCTGTTAATTCTTGTATCCTCCACTTCCACCCCAACTGACATAAGGGTGGACTCTTGAAAACATAAATAAGTACGTCATGACAAAGACCATGCAGTAAAACTGATTTCAGATAAAATGAAAAGTAGGTTCATTAACATTTTATGACATTTTTATTCTATGAAAACAATAAATAATAAAACATTTTGGTGTTTATTGTTGCTTACTTAAATCAAGAATTACATGAATTATATGTCAACCAAGCCTCACATCCTCTGGATTCTTCTGAGTAAGTGCTATATGAAATATATAATAAGGAAAAGACAGTCTACCAGTCTGTTCTGAGAAAATAGCAATTTCCCCTATAAATAAAAGTTAATGACTACAGTCCTGGTTGGTTTGGCTCAGCGGTTGGAGTGTTGGCCTACGGTCTGGAGAGACCCGGGTTCGGTTCCCGCTAAGGGCAAGTACCTCGGTTGCAGTTTGTCCCCGGCCCTGGTTGGGCTGTGTGGGTGGCAGCCACTTGATGTGTCCCTTTCACGTCGATGTTTCTCTCTCTCTCCCTCCCACTCTATCTGAACAAAATATCGAAAAATGTTCTCGGGTGAGGATGAAAAGAAAAAGAGTTAATGACTATTTTAATACAAATCACACTCTCTGTTTAAGACTCTGTGATAGGTAATAAGCAAGGAAAATACTGAGAGGAATAAGAATTAAACTCTAGCCCTGGCCAGTATGGCTCAGCGGTTAGAGCGTTGGCCTGCGGTACAGAGAGACCCGGGTTCGGTTCCCACTAAGGGCACGTACCTCGGTTGCAGTTTGTCCCCGGCCCTGGTTGGTTGTGCAGGTGGCAACCACTCGATGTGTCCCTTCACATCGATGTTTCTCTCTCTCTCTCTTCCTCTCTCTCCCTCCCGCTCTGTCTGAACAAAAAATGCAAAAATGTCCTCGGGTGAGGATAAAAAAAAAAAAAAGAATTAAACTCTACCATCAAAAAATGTATCATCCAGCCCTGGCTGGTATTCCCAGTGGTTAGAGCATAGGCCAGCACATCAAAGGGTCTCAGATTTGATTTCTGGTCAAGGGCAAGTAACTAGGTTGCAGGTTCCAGCTCCACTTGGGGTCATGTGGGAGGCAATCAATCGATGTGTCTCTCTCACATCGATGTTTCTCTCTTGTGACTCCTCTTTCCCTCCCACTCTGTCTGAAGATAAATGCAAAAATGTCCTCGGGTGAGGATAAAAAAAATTATAAATAAACTGCAATGTGGCAATTGAGTTGAGCTAAGCATGTTAAGGATGTTTTCTCTCTGATTACTTGTTCAAAGTTGACAATTTGAAAAATAAAGAAAAGCACAAGAAAAAAAAACAAACATAATTTCCCCACCAGGAGAGAACCATTATTAATATTTTAGTATATTCTTTTTTAAATGTTTTTCATTTTTGCTTTTTAAATTAGCCTAAAGCAATATATGCATGCATGTGGCAAAAAATTCAAACAGTATAGAAAGGCATACAACTGAAAAAGATTGTCAACCAAGTTCATTGCCATCAATCCAATGCCAACAAAACACCCAAATTTGGGCTGTGGTGAAGGGAGACTTTATTCAAGTGAAGCAGCTCAAGTGTTACAGTCCAAGCAGAGGAAAATGCAACTGCAAGTACTCCATGGAGATCCAGGAGAAGCTGGCTTATATAGAGAGAAGTTCCTGTCCATGGTCCCTGATTGGTCCATTTCTATGCAAATGAGGACTCCAAGTCTAGTTTGGTCCAAATAGCACTGTTGTGATTGATCAGAATTGCCCATTCTGATTGATCATTATTGAGCTGCTTAAATTAGTTGGTAAAGACGCAAATGAGGGTATAGCTATGTAGCTCCAATTGTACTGGGAAGGTCTCAGTCTCATTGGTCCAACTATAATACCAGGAGCTACTTTATAAAGGTCAGCTCAGATGGCAGGAACACAGTGCAGGAGGCTTGGCAGCCCAATTTGTGGCTTTTCCCTGTAATGCAGCCTGTAAACAACAGCTGCTAGAATCTGATTATAAATTTGGGCCCAGTTAACCAGAAGGAGTTCTTTTTGACAAATTCATTCTCATTCCCTCTCAGGGGGTCAATAAGATAAAAGGTTCAGTCCCCAAATGTATGTTGAAATAAATGTCTAAGCTCAAGATGAATCTGCTCCTGCACTAGCCGGTGTGGCTCAGTTAGTTGAGCATTGTCCTGTGCACAGAAAAGTTGCCTTTTCATTCCTGGTTAGGGCACAAACTCAGGTTGCTGTTTCAATCCCTGGTGGGGATGCATGTGTGAGGCAGCCAGTGGATGCTTCTCTCTCACATCAATGTTTCTCTCTCGCTCTTCCCTTTCCTTTTCTCTCTCTCTAAAATCAATAAAAACATATTAAAAAAAAAAAGGATGCCCTGGCCAGTATGACTCAGCGGTTGAGCGTCGGCCTGTGGAACAGAGAGTCCTGGGTTCGGTTCCCGCTAGGGGCACATACCACAAAAAAATAAATAAAAAAGATGGAGTTGCTCGTCAGGGTGTCACCTCAGCAAACTGAAATTTCCTGTTCCTGTAAAAGCTCTGCTTCATTAGAAATCCAGTCATCCAATCGCCAAAGGCCACACAACTCTGGGCTCTTCTTTGTTCCTTCATCTTCCTAGGTAAAGTCAGATAATTAACCCCACACAATCATGCCGTTTCTGTTTTGCCATTTTCAACACTCTACAAAAGTTGCTTTTGCCTAAAATCCTCAAGAAAAATGCTCCACTGCTTGCGAGGTACTGTAATCCTCCTCTGTGGATTGTTTCCCCTTGAATAAAGAACATCAAACTCACTACTAAATTGGTTTTTGTTTTTATCCTCGCCTGAGGACATTTTTCCATTTTTTTTTGTTGTTGTTCAGATAGGGGGGGGGAGGGGAGGGAGAGAGGGAGAGTGAGAGAGAGAGAAACATCAACGTGAAACCAACCAGTGCCGGGAACAAACTGCAACCGAAGTAGTGCCCTTAGCAGGAACCGAACCCGGGTCTCTCTGGACCACGAGCTGGCACTCCAACCACTGAGCCAAACTGGCCAGGGCTACTAAATTGTTTTAGCTTTGTCATTTGTTAGGTAACTTACAGCTTCCTTGTGAATCTCTCTGGACTTTAGAACTAATTCAAAACTGCAATCACATATACATGTATTCCTTAAAATGTATACAGATATAATCACATTATTTAGATAAGAGTTCTGTATCATGCTTTCCCTTACAGCACAGATAAATCTCCCTCATTCTTAGTGGAGCTGGTCCACTGCTATATATAAAGAGAGAGGATCGCTTATCCACCTTTTGGCTAAGGTCAAGTGTAACCATAGGAATTGGCAGGCGATGACCTGAGTGAATAGGTTGGAGACAAGCCATTTCAGGATGAGGGGAATCTGGTGCCCAGATTGGGGTGAACAACGGGGAGGCAGAGAGGGTAGGCCGGCTTGGTTGGCATGTGTATGGTATTAGTAAGTGAGATGATGGGGCTAGAGGATGGGTATTTCAGGCCAGCAATTTAGACTTCCTTTACTTTTTGTAGTGGAGAGGAATAGAGAAGTTAGTTGGATTAGGTGAGATATGGGTTGTCTGAAAAGGGCTTTACAGGCTACATGCAGCTGTCCAGGAGGGAGCGGATATTCTAGTCTGTAACTGAGAAAGAATCTGAGGTTGGAAAAACAGCAAGGTTAATTACTTTTTTACACAGGGCTGAGTCTTCACTGTTTCCTCCTCGCTCCCAAAAAACTTTTCTTTATGCACATTGAATGCTGGAAAATTCGCTTGGTGCGTTTCCTTATTCCTAGGCCCAGAGCTATGGCAGATCCTTCCAGAGCCCGCTACCTGCGGAAATCCCTCACTCCCTCCCCGCCCCTGCGCAGCGGGAATTCCAAGACATGGGCGGTCCTTCTAGGAGGCGCTCTGAGGAGCAGAGATAGGGTACGGCGACCGCCAGTCAGAACTCCCGGATACCCGGATGTGAAGCGGTACGCGGTACAAAGGCGAGTTTCCACCCAGAGCTTCCTCCGGTACAGTGACCAATAAGCACTTCTCAGGAGATGAATGACAGAAAAAATAGCCAGTTACAAACTAGTTTCGTTCACGCATGTGGAAATTCTTTTGCTTAATCTAACCCATTGCTTGTTGTGATTGGGCAAAATTTTGAAGAGCGGTAGAATGGTCTAATTAAAAGCGAGAGCGAGGAAAATCGTAGCCAATAGGAAGATTCTCAGTAATGGGGCGGGGGCAAGGCCTTCGCCTCGGCGGCAGAGGAGACTCGGGGGCCATTTTGTGAAGAGACGAAGGCTGAGCGGTTGTGTCCGCGTTGCTGACCTCGAGCAGTAGTCGGCTTCACGTAGAACCCGGGAGTAGGAGATTCAGAATCGAATCTCTTCTCCCTTCTCCCTCCGGGTAAGTGGAGGAGACGGAAGCAGGGGAGGCGCTGGGTTCCTTGGTGAGCGCGTGGGGGTGTGGGAGGGAAGGCGAGGGAACCTTCTCTTCGGTAATTAGGCCCCATTTATTCTCTTTTACAGTGGGGGGTTAGGCTTTATGCGGGAGTTTTATAGGCCTCAGCCCTTGTGTAGATTTACCCTAGTGTCCTCTAGGCCACGATCGGGAGGGGAAATGTCCTTTTTTTCGTTCTCTTTCTGTGTTAACGGCTGCTTTCCTTTCATTTTCTACGACCATGAGGACTCCGAGAGATCACGAAAGGGAAGATCGAGATGTTCGTTAATACAGTTGAAGTTAACGTAGTGCTGATGCCTCGTGTTAGATTTAAAAATTGGGCGGGGTTTGGGGAAGGATTACCAAGTAGACATTGTATCGCATGTCTCTTGATTCTGGAGCATAATATTAATACTAATAAGTGTTATAACAACAGATTTAGTATTTTATTGATTACTTTTTGTTTTACGTCTCTCTCAGAAAATGATGGACCTCGAAGTATTTATTTTCAATTCTGTTTTTCAAAAGATTGTAATCTCATTTATATATTAAAACAGTAATAATTAAAGCTGACTTTTTATCTGCAGGTTACAAATCACTTGAAATAAATAAGTTAGTGGAACTTTGCTTGAGGTAGGTATTGCTATCTTTCTTAGAAACAGGCCTAAAATCGTTGGTTGCCAGGGTTATACTGATTCAGAAGCCGAACTAGTAAGGAACTGGACTAGTAGGCACTGAAAATACTGTATTTGAATCTTTACAAGAACCTAATTACAGCAATCTCTAGCCATAACTGGAACTTCCCAAACTGCACTTTGGAAATATATTTACGAGAATTGCATGTGTTATTAACATAATGTCCTAAGATGATAAAGTTTTTAATTTTCAGGATATTCTGGCATTAACTTTCCAGACCATCTAAACGGGCAAGATTCATACCTCCATATTATTTATTAAGCAAGTATCAATGTGTCTACCATTTTCGAGGTCCTGAAACTTACTAAAATTTTTTGCTAAGTTTATAAAAATTACAGAGGTTTCTAAGTAGTATCACATTGCCTTATCCAAGAAATCGCTATTTATTGTCTTATAAGATTTTGTTGACTTTAATTTTCATAATGTGTTAATCTCACTAACGTTATTAAGCCTGGTGTAAACCAATACTGCAAGGTAAATTTATTCCTTAAACCTACTTGATAGGAAAATTACTCTTCTAGATCCCCATGCATTTGTTGATTCCTCACCATTGTAGATAATGTAATAGGAATCAAAAGCATTTCTTCTTTTTTTTTTTTATTAAATGTCAACATATAATTTATGGGCTTAAAACTAAAATATATTACTGCAGGATTGCTAGAAATGAGATAATGATGGTGATTGCTTAATTTAGACAGTCATTTACCTAATAAAAGTGTTGGTGTAAAGAGTAATGTCAGGAATTAATATTTAAGAACAGTTATTGGTGAATTGAAATTAATCGAAGGACTTTTTACTTGCCTTGAGGTGTTAGATCAACATGTACCAAGGTAACAATGGTCATCTGGAATGATTTGGCCACATAATTAAAATCTGAACAATTCTAGATGTGTTTTCAAATAGGTAGGCATTAGCAACATTTACATGTTGGCTAGAGAGGAAGGATTTAAGAAGGATGACTAAATTGCAGGTCTCCTGACCATTTTGTTTCCCCATGCTGATGCCCCGGGAATACTTGGTAGTGTTTGCTATTTCTTCTGTAGAGAATTTAAACATAACTTATATTTGTAATTAGGTCTCCAGAGGTTTTCACATAGCGTGTGACCTTGTTTTGGATGGAATCCCTATTAGAAACAGGTAGTGACTAAGCTCCAAAATAGCTGGTTCTAAACTTAAACATTATTTTAACTGGTAACAGTTGAAGAAATACTAGCCTAGGAGTGATTTTTATCCCCCCCCCCCCCAACCTCCCTGCTGATTATTGCCTGTGTCAGGCAAATGAGTTAAACTTTGATTTCAGGTATATATATATATATATATTTTACGAGTTTTAGAAATCTAATTTAGAAATTGGGCCCTGGCCAGTTTGGTTCAGCGGTTGGAGCGTCGGCCTGTGGACCAGGGAGTCCCGGGTTCGGTTTCCGCGAGGGGCACGTACCAAAAAAAAAGAAAGAAATTGGTAGATTTCTGATTTCTGTAACTCATTTGTTTCCTAAAAAGGCTGGAAAAAGATACAGAAATAGTTTCACTATTAAAAGCAGTTCTTGTGTGCCATTAATTAAGGTTAACTCCCTTTAATAAAGGTATTTCAGTCTTCAGTTTAATTAGTTGTATCTGGGGACAACTTTTCTAAGTATTTGCTCATTCTTAATATGTATACTCATTCTCATTGGGATCAGGGAAGATTATGGTTTTGTACAAAATTACATTTACTAGAGAATTGACTAGTGAGAATTATAACTTTTATTTTTAATTATTTTTGTTACAGATGCTTCTCCCCCCACACACACACCCTCCTCCCTACCCCCCACCCAAGAATTAGAACTTTTAGATGTAGCATAACTGCATATGTTCTCTAAGATACTGGAAATTTGGGGGTTATAAAGGGAAAAAGGGTTACTGTAGGACTGTTTTATATTTCTCTTGGTATAATTATGGTAGGTTATAATTTTCTTGGATTTTATATACTATCAGGAACACATACGAAGCCATGGTGCTCAAACCTGCTGTCAGTACACTGGAAGGATAAGGCACTTTGTTTATAAAGACTCCATCTTAACTAGGGGAATAGAGGTTCCTCATTAAACTCTTCACCTTTCCTACACATGAACTGGCTTTGAAATCAGCAAGAGAGCTAGTTAAAACATTGCTGGGCTCTCCATCCCCAGAGTTTCTAATTAAGTCAGTCTGGAGTGGGCACTGATAATTTGCATTTCTAATAAGTGCCATGTGATACTAGTTGTCAGACCTCCCTTTGAGAATACCCCTTTAGAAGGGATCCAGATCTCAGTCTTGTCAGAGTACACTATAGTCTAGATACACTATTAATTACAAAGCATTGGAATTAGTGCTAAAGTAGTTTGGTTTGACTTTTAAAGATGCGTTTCTTTTTATAACTGCTTTTTAAGTTTGTCTTGTGACACATGTGCAAAGGATTTGTTTGTAGATGAGCCACAAAGTTAGTTACTTGATGTATCCTGAAAATTTTAAGTACCAGGTTTCCTTCCAAGAAGGAAAATTGACTATATATCCCAAACACTGACTCGAAGGAGATGGCATTCAAAACTTTTCCTATAGTTTTTGCATTTGTACAACTTAACACATCAATCCAAGTATAAAAGTAATTTACATGTCATGCCTAAACTGGTCTGCTCTAAAAAATTTACAGTTAAAATTTTAGAATTATAGTATCTGTTCTTCATTGCTGTGGTCATTTATATATAGTTGACTCATGGAACACTTTCAAACTGAGCTTAAAACTTTTTTAGTTTACTGACATTTGGAGATGAGAAAACCTCATGGCTGAATATAGAAATGTGAGTGCAGTTAGTTCATTCTTATTTGCTAAAAGACCTACAGTCAAATTGCAAATCTTTTCACTGATGAGACAGCCAGTCTGTCAGGCATGTTATTTTTTAGTAGGTAATCTTATCAGATTCTTAGAAATAATTCTTTTATTAGCTATATATATACTAGTTTATAAATAGTGGGACCAGAGAAACAAGAAATTTCTTAAGGGCCATAATTTATCCCCCCCCCCTTTTTTTTTTTTGACACTAAATATTCAGTAGCCATAATCTTTCCCCTTCATCTTTGGATTTTCATTCTGTCCGTGAGTGGAATAATGTGCTCCTTGTTTAAAGCATCTTTCCTCCTTCCTGTAGAGCCAATTAAGTCTTGTGGTTTGTTCATTGATTTTAAGAATAGATGTTATCTCTTAACGTATCTTCATGGTAGACCATTCTCCTAAAGTGTATGCAGGAAAAATATGTAGACTTAAAATTTAAAAAGCCATGGATTTGCTTACTTAACTTCATTAATCTCCCTTCATCTTTGAGATTTGCTCACTTCTTTATCTCTGTTGGCTTATTTTTATATTTTTCATGCCCAAACTGGTTATCAAGAGGAAAGTTTGAACTCGGACCTTTTTGAGACCCTTAAGAGGAATACATGCGCATAGTTACCTACTGAAGAAGAATTGTGAAAAGAGTCACTGGTAGAAGTGATTCTATTGAGGCTCTCCCCACCCAAGTGGAATGTAATGCTTTGCCAAAATGTGTGGGTTTAGGGCACAACATTTCTGAGGAACTCTGACTCAATCTGTCCCTTCTCCTTTCACAGGGCAGCAAGGCGAACCCCATCCCTACTCACTGGAGCTCAGCTTTGATTTTTAACCTCCCTTCCCCACCCTTCCAGAACACACACATTCCCATTTCAAAACTGATTTTATAAAAAACATTTTAAACATAATGATGCAACTTGGTGTGCACTACGGCAAATTTACAGGTGTTTTTTTTTTAATTGTTTCCAAAAACGGGACTTGGATTTAAGATGTAATTTTTAAAATTTCTATTTCTATTTTTTCTGCAGCAGTTGGGTTAGAGGAGGGAGGAGCCTTTTAGCCTCTCATAAACTGACCTCTCTACTTCTTCGTGTATTTTTAAGATTGATTGATGATGTGGAAAGGGCTTTGCTTGTCTGCTACTGAGAACTTTACCCTTGCGGTTTTTGTGGAAACTGCTTTTGGAAAGAGAAAAGAAATGAACTTTACTGACTTGACATTTTTGCACCTCCCGTTTTTCTAATCTGGGCTATTTTTATTTTTGTTTTTTTACAGTGAGATTTTTTTGATCTTCAGCTACAGTAAGTTATTCCAATTTTTTTTTACATTTTTCCTGACTTTCCGCTGATTTCCTTTTTATTGTTGTTACTAGTTACTATTATTATTTATTATTATTATACTTATGATGGTGATGATGATGATGATAATGACTGATGATTTTTAAACGGATTAAAATCGAGTTTTTCTGAATGTTCGTAAGAATTCCTCCCCCCTCCCCCCCTAATTGACTGGAGTTTTCCATCTTGGGAGAGAAAGTGAAGGCATTAGCATTTTTAAGTGGATTGATCACATAAACCTTTTCTCTCCCAACCCCACCCTTGCCCTCATCCCCTCCCCCACGCTCGAAAGAATTTTACTGGCTGTTAAGTCTGTGACCTTATTTTTCCTGATCTTTAACTTAACTGTTTTAGAGCATCTCTGGACGTCTGTATTTTTAATTTTTTTATTTTTGTTTTTTTTATTTTTAATCTTTCATTTGTTAAATTTTTAAACTGTGCTGCAATAAAATGTGTGTGGTACTACTTAATACCTATGATGGTGATGGCATTTTCCCAGAAAGCCATCTTCCTCCTGTTTCCCTTGAAATCCCATCCTGCTTTTCCTGTACACTACCCCTCACAAACCACAAGCTGCAGCAACATGGATGCCCAGCCTGGAGCAACGGCAGCCAGGATGACCTGGAGCCAGGGGGGCCTTCGGAACAGATGCACACCCTTCCTGGGTGATGGTAAGAGGTGTGAGGTCCACTGGTTTCATTGTGAAGACTAGGAAGTACACCAGTCTAAGTTTAGTTGATGGTAAATAGCTTCTGGAAATGTTAGGGCTGATCCTTTTGTGTGTGAGGTTTCCAAGGGAGGCCACTTCAATTTTTTTGTAAACTCATGGAATTAGGAGTATCTAGTTGGGCTGACTGAGAACTTTTGATAATTGAAAAAAGCAGCTGAAGTTTACATATCCTTTAGAATGAAATAAATGGCTTGTGTTGTTATTTTAAAATATTTTTTATTTTTATGAAGAGGAGAGAGAAATAACACTTCGAAAGATTTGTTTTTCCATTTATTTATGCATGTATTGGTTGCTGCTTTTATGTACCCTGACTGGGGATCAAAGCTCCTGCAACCTTGGTTTATTGGGGCGATGCTCCAACCAATTGAACTACCGGGCTAAGGCTGAAGTGACTTGTTTTAACAATTAGCAACAAAGTGGTTCTTTTTCTTAGCATTGCAAATTAGTAAAATTTTTCTGTCATTTGGAGTAGTCTTCCTTAGGTTTGTGACAACAGTTAGGGATTGTATTCTATTGAGATTATTTTTATTAAAATTTAACATGAATCAAACCACAAGCTTGCTGTAATATTAAAATGCTATCTCACTGGAAGGGTTTTTTTTAAAGAAAAGGATAGGAAGGCTTTTTAACCCTTTCACAGGGAAATCTGTTTAATCTTTTTGTCTAAATCAGAGAAGATCTAGGGTTGACCTCTTTTTCAGTGATGGTTTGTGGCCCAGCCAGATATTGGGCAATAAGTATGTTCTCAAGGGTGATAGGAAGGAATCTGATTTATTCACAGAATAATGCAGAGATTAATAAGGATATGGATAGCCAAAGAGTTAAGGATTTTTGCAACCTGTAGTATCCTGACAACAGTGTAATATTTTGCTAATATGAATAGATTTTGAGTTGCGGCAAAAGAATATTTTCTTTATTGATTTCTTTTTCTTTAGAGAGAGGAAAGGAGGGGAAGGGGGGGAGAGAGAGAAACATTGATGAGAGAACATTTATTGGCTGCCTCCTGCATGCCTCCCACTGGGGATTGGGGCCCACAACCTGGGTGTGTGCCCTGACCGGGAATCGAACTGGTGACCTCTTGATGTATGGTTTGACACTCTACCTCTGAACCACACTGACGGGTCAAGAATGATTTTTTTAAAGGCATGTTCAGTCCTGTGATACTAGAATAAAACACATACTAGACTCCCTTCCCTTACTGAAATGGTAAAATATAGTTAAAGTGAACACTAAAGGCAGCCTTAATGGAAAACAGAACGGAAAAAGATAAAATGTCCTGTTTATCTGGGAAAAGAATGGAAAATTTTTTTATAGGACCAAGTTTTATTAATACTCTGTATTCTGTGAAGTCTGTTTCTACTGTGTTCTGTCATCATGTGGCTGCTGTTCATTATAGGTTCAGTTTAATTTATTCCTTAACTAATTTTACAAATCCATTGTTTTATGGGTCATGTTCTGGTTTTGAGGAAACAAGGTATAGTTCTTCAGGGACCCATCTAGGGAAGGAGACGGTTACATGATTAGATATAAGTACAGAACATATAGAAGCATGCAAAAATGAGTACCTAATTATTAAGAGGTCAGGAAATACTAAGAGAAAGGGAGCTAAAATGAATTCTAGAGAAGGCCAGATTATTAACTTCTTTTGAAAATACATTTTTTCTCCCTGGCCAATTTGGCTCAACAGTTAGCGTTGGTCCACGGACCAGAGAGTCCTAGGTTTGGTTCTCGCTAAGGGCACATACCTCAGTTGCAGTTTGTCCCTGCCCTGGTTGAGGTCGTTTGGGTGGTGACCAGTCGATGTGGTCATCTCTCTCACATCGATGCCCACCCCCCCCCCCCCCCGCTCTTTCAGAAGATAAATGCAAAAAAAAAAGTTGTCCTTGGGTGAGGATTAAAAAAATATATATATATTTTTGTTTTCTTTATTGATTTTAGAGAGAGAAATATCGATGAACAAGAACATCAAATTGCCCTCCTCCTGCATGTTCCTACTGGGGACTGGGCCCACAACCAGGGCATGTTTCCTGACTGGGAATCATACCAGTGACCTCTTGGTGTGTGGGTTGGCACTCAACCGCTGAGCCACACTGGCTGGGCAGGTTATTATAGACATTTTAATGCAGTGCCAAGGAATTTGTTTTTTATCCAGAAACTAGTGATGAGCTATTGAAAGATTCTAAACTGGAGAGTGATATTAGATTTTCTTGCTTTTTTTTTTTTATCCTCACCCGAGGATATTTTTCCATTTTTTGTACAGATAGAGTGGGAGGGAGAGAGGAAGGGAGAGAGAGAGAGAAACATCGACGTGAAGGGACACATCGTGTGGCTGCCACCCGCACGACCAACCAGGGCCAGGGACAAACTGCAACCGAGGTACGTGCCCTTAGCGGGAACCGAACCCGGGTCTCCAGACTGCAGGCCGACGCTCTAACCGCTGAGCAAAACTGGCCAGGGCTAGATTTTCTTTCTTTGACATGTCATTCTGATAGTGTGTAAAGGGCTTAGAGGAGAATGAGATTGAAAGTAGGTGATAAGGAAGATACTAAATTACAAGGAAGAATAATGACCCATACCCTGGTCAGTTTGGCTCAGCGGTTGGAGCGTCGGCCTACGGACCAGAGAATCCTGGCTTCGGTTCCTGCTGGGGGCATGTACCAAAAAAAAAAAAAAAATGAATTATGACCTGACCTGGTCAAAGACCATGGTATTGGGATTAGAGAAGAGGGGTAAATTAGCATCTGGTGGGGGCTGTGATATGAAGAGGGATTTGGCCATGACCCCTACAATTCTAGTTTCTGGGATGAGGATAATTAAAACAGAAAGGTTAGGATTGAGAGTAGGAGAAGGAACCATTCAAACATTGATCTTTGGTGTTAGTGGAACATTCAAGTAGAGATATTTATTCATTAAATAATTGTGTGTTTATTCTGAAAATCACCATTAGTCATATAGAGATGAACGAAACATATTGTCACCTACCCTCCTGGGCATTAGAGACCATTGAGGGGACAAATAAAGTGAACAAACAACACTTTAACAATGTAGATCCATGAAGTGAAAGAGCAGGGTGAGATAGTAGGGGGCCAAATTTGCAATGTGGAAGTACTAGGTGCAGCCAGTGTAGAGGCCTTAATGGAACTGATGTTGAAATTGAGATCTGTACATGGATTATACCTGAAAGCAAATAATGGGTAGGGGTGTGTGTGTGTGTGTGTGAGAGAGAGAGAGACTAGGGCTCACAGCCAGAAATACTGCTAGAGAATGGTCACTAAGAATGCATAGGATAAGAGATGGCATTTGTAAAGTAGATAAGTACGAAGCATAGTATACAGGTCCTTGTTGGGTCATGTTTAAGATCTAGATTATGAATAATGGAGAGATCTGATTCTTTGGAATTTCCTACTGGCTATTTTGTGGGGAATGTTAGTAATGAGGACAAGTGCAACTAGGACATTAAGTTAGAAGACCTACTAGAGTAGTTAATCTCTTGAAGAAAGTAGTGTTCCTAGGCTTGAGGCTACTTACCCTGGATGAGTTTTCTTTGCGTGTATTACTGAGCAAATGTTCTTAGTTTGAAGAGAATAGGTTGGTGAGGCTGTAGGACATCACTGGTTATTTCTCTAACAACCCCTGTTGGGACAGGCATGATATAATTGCTTTGCTATTTGAAAGGAAAAATGAAGTAGAACCTAAATTCCTTTTATTTGGATGTAATATGGACAATTTACCATATGTTCACTGTTAATGTTCTTGTGTCAACTAATTTAATCTTCATCATAACCTTATGTAAGTAATCAAATTTTGGAGATGTGAAAATTGAAGCACAGAATTTAAATAATTACCTAATAAATGGCAAAGCATGGATAAACTCAAGCAATTAAGCATGTAGATTTCAACCTTAAAAAATATTTACGTGTGTGTAAAATTGATTTTAGAGAGAGGAAGGAAGGGAGAGAGAAACATCTGTCAGTTGTCTCCTGCACGTACCCTGATGGAAATCTAACCTGCAACCTGGGTATGTGCCTTAACAGGTAATTGAACCTACCACCTCCTGTTGTGTGGAAGGACTGTCCAACTAACTGCCACACTGGCCAGGGTGATTTCAACTCTTAACCGTACCAGACTACTTTATTTGACATGTGAAGTATTCAGTCAATAAAAACCCACAAAAAACTGCTTTGGATTAAAATATAAATATATATATATGTACATTTAAAAAATAAGTTATTTT